GCTGTGGAGGGGGCGGGGCAGATGCATGGTGGCGCTCTAGGCGATGCGCGGGGCGCGGTGCAGGGCGGCGCGCGGGGCGCAGCGCAGGGCGACGAGCAGGGTGCAACGCAGGGCGAAGCGGGAGGGGAGCCCGGGGTTGTGGCGAGGCTTGCTGCCCTGGGCCTGCCCGATATCAGGGCCCCGGCCGCAGCGGCCGGCGCCGAGGCGGCAGCTGCCGAGCAGCTGCAGGACGCTGCCTGCGACGCCTGCAGCTGGGCCGTGCTCGCGGCCGAGGCGCTGGGACTGCCGCCCGAGCGCGTTGACGCGGTGAGCGGCGGCGTGCAGGCGGCGACTGAGGAGGCGGGCGGGTGCCGGCGGTTTCTGGGGATGGAGTACCCACGGCTGCGGCGCGCGTGTGCGGCGGGGGAGGTGGGTCTGGTGAGGGCCTGGATGGACCGAATCGCGGCGCGCGGCAGCTGAGATATGCAGTTGGCGTGAGCGCTCACTCACTTTGCAAATGGCTCCAGAATGATGCCACATGTACATGCTGCAAGCGCGTTGCGGGATTTCCGGCGTTGCACAGCCGACCCTTTGTCGGCATGGGGCCTGGTGCTGTGAGCACTGCCTGCTCAGGCACAGTTGATTGGTGTGGTCATTGCCATGGTCCTAGTGCTGCAAATCGAGGTTCCCTGATTGTACCCATTTCTGGACATGTTCCTCCTTATTTCACGGCGCATGCAATTCATCCAGGCGCATGCACTTCATCAAGGCGCATGCAATACATCAACACGGCGCGACGCGCCAACCGGGCTGCCCACTGCGACTAACTAGCCACCCAATCTTGAGGGTGCTCACGTGTGCCGAGTGTGTCTGTGCAGCGTTTGCGCTTGCCCCTGGTACGCTGTCCCCCTTGGTTGAGGATCCACAGTGCATCATTGTCTCGGCGTCATCGCCTTCCAATAAAACCATTGTGTTGTAGAGCGAAGTAAAGCCTTTACCTGAGGGTTTCAGTAGGATGACCTCGCAATCCGGGCGCCACCGTCACGCAGCAGGCCCTGTGCCATGCGATCTCCCCGGGCAGGGCAGTCTGCCTGCACGCCAGCAGTAAGGAAAGACATGTCATAATAGCAAACAAAGTCCTGCTCTGTCCGTCAATAGCAGCAATTTCAGCAACGTCCTTTCCAGATTGAAGCAGCGGCGCCCCGCGCATACATGTGGCGGTACGGCCGGGCGCCGGAGCTGCCACAGGCTACAGTTTGCGAGGGCACCGGCCAGATTCAAGGCTGGGGGGATTTGGATATGGCAGATCTCAGCGGGCGCCTTACAGAGGCGACATGTCTTAGCCCTGGCGCGCGCAGGTTGGTGTTGTGCCCAAACGGCCACAGGCCACTTTTTGTGGAGTGATCTGGTACTCGGAGGCACATCAGGACTTGGCACTCGTGTCAGCATGAGGGCACCAGGTTGCAGGCCAGGAACACGGGAAGGGCTAGACAGGCGCGATGCACCGCGCATCAGCAAGCGGCGCCGCTGCCAGCGGCTGCGCCGCGCCGGTCAACCCTGGGTCAACCCCCCTTTTCCCGTGTTTTAGTTGTTCACAACGCACTGTCAAGTCGCCACGGCAAGTTCCAGACCGGTCTTGTGGTGCCATGCGCTCGTTTGAAGCGGCCTTCCGAGCGGCCTTCGTGCAGAAACGTACATCTGACCCTCTCCATTCCACGACAAGCTTACAAAAGGCAACCCTCACACAAAATCCATCATACCAATGATACGGTAATTATCAAACTCTTACACAAATACATACTCACTCACATATTGTCTGTCCCGATCTCTTCAACGCAACAACGATCCTCAAGCAACAGCGGACTACACCTACACGACTACAGACTACGTCTTCAGATTCACGCTGTGGCTGGGGCGTTGACTGCACCTCACGCCCCAGTCGCGGCAGCCTGCCGCACCCGCTAGTATGTGCTCTGCACAGAACGCAGCTGCGGCCCCCCGCCGCCAGAGCCACACACCCGCCAGTATGTGCTTTGCACAGAACGCAGCTGTGCCGGCTGGCGGCGGTGCAGGCCAGGGCGGCGCACCCGCTAGTATGTGCTCTGCACAGAACGCAGCTGTGTCGCCCCACCGCCAGCCCAGCACACCTGCTAGTATGTGCTTTGCACAGAACGCGGGTGTGCCGGCTCGCGGCGGCGCAGGCCAGGGCGGCGCAATAGCTAGTATGTGCTTTGCACAGAACGCAGCTGCGACACTCTGCGTGCCGCCAGAGCGGCACATTCGCTAGTACGTGCTCTGCACAGAACGCGACCGTATCCCTCTGTTGCGGCGCAGGCCTGGGCGGCGCACCCGCTAGTATGTGCTCTGCACAGAACGCAGCTGCGACCCCCCGCCGCCAGGCCGGTGCAACCGCTAGTATGTGCTTTGCACAGAACGCAGCTGTGCCGGCTGGCGGCGGCGCACGCCAGGGCAGCGCACCTGCTAGTATGTGCGTTGCACAGAACGCGGCTGCGATGCCCACCAGTGCACGTGGGAGCCTGTCGGAATCTCGCCCACCAAAAGTGGGGCAGCTTCCTGGCAGGTGGTTGTGGGGATCAGGAGTGCGGAGGTCACAACCTTAAATCCCTTAAAGGGACCCTGACTGAGACCAGGTAAGTGCAGCTACGCTGCCGAGGGGCAACACGCTGCGGGGGCCATTGCGTCCCCACCCTCTTTTTCCGATACGGCCGGCGTTCAAAGCACCGGCTCGTCCTCTTGGGTCCGCCGCACCTGCGTGGTTGCAACAAGCAAGCATAACTTGTCACTGGCAGTTCGCCGATAGCGCCATGGGCATTGATACAGACTCACCCATATAGAATCACCCAGGCTCACCCGGGTTCACACAGACTCACTTCATAACACGAGCAGGGGCGACTGCAGAAGCTGATGGCGGCAAGCGCCTGCCTCCCTCCCTTTTCCTCCGTCCTGGTTTGGCACCCAACACACCCGGGAGACATCCAGAACCTGCGGCCAGGCTGCCTGCTGCCCATAGTGGAAGACGCTGCATTGCACGACCGGCACAGGCAGCGGGCACACCCCGCTCCGCTTTGGGCGCTCTGCTGCTTGCCTCACACTTGCCACTTTGCGCCCCCTTGCAAGACGGTGACAGCCGACTATGACTCCAAGGTTGTCGACGCGTAGACTTCCATCGCAGTACTTGACTCACGAACAAGACTCACGGCACGCGGCCAGTGGGAGTTAACACTTGCAGACCTGGCCGCCGCATGCATGCATGGATGGAAGGCAGTATTCCTGAAGGCACAACGTGGCATGCGTCCTGATAGCAATCGCAACCGCCATCGCTGCCGTTGATGACTCAACCGTTCAGCCGGCAGGAGAGACGCGAGGCGCGGCTAGCCGGCCTGTGGCCAGCGGCCGCAGGCCGTGGCCACTGGTTAAGAAATGGACTGGCGGCGGACTGGGACTGGACTGCCATTGACCGCCAGCTTACAGCTCGGCAACAGGGCAGCGGGCAGAGTATTTGGTCAGGTTTCGCAACCGGACGAAGTATGGCGCGACACCCCCCCGTTAGTGTCGGGGTTCAGGTCGCCTTAGTGCCTATCTGGCTGGTGCTGCTGTTCTTGCGCATACAGGCAAGCAAGGGGCGTGACTGCAGATCGATATGCTGATAGGAAAAGGCTTCTTCCTATGATGCCCCCTGATTGACCAACGATTTGACTCTCAAGGTGCACAACCATCGACGACGTCAATAGCATGGGCCCCTCTCTGGATCTGCTTGATGATCAGGCTAGCAACTTTTGTTGCGCTACAGGATCACCTCTGGCCCGATTGCAAGGCCCGGCAGCCTCAAAACGCTTGCTTTGTCGGGTTCTTGGGTCACTCGGGTTACGCTGCCAACGTGGATGAGCCATTGCCTTGGATGGTCCTGCTGTGAGGTGTCGTGAAGAGGTCAATTCGACATCATCATCGTCCCTGGACAGCCTGCTGTCTCCAGTAAGATCTCGCTGCAAGCGGGACTTTTCCAGTGCCAGGACGCCATGCTTTCCGGCCTGCGCACTGTGGCACCAGCACATCGCTTGCCGCGATGCGTGCCAGCTGCCCCGCGGCCCGGGCGGAAGCCAACGCTCGTCAGGGTGGCTCAAACATCGTCGACAGAGACCGCTGCTGCCCCAGAGCAGCCCGTTGGTGGGGAGAATGAAGCTGCTGCGGACATCAATCTCGTCCAAGAGGCGTTCATGGGCCTGCGGGTGGACGAGCGCGCCGCGCACCAGCTTTCGCGCGCCGGGGGTGAGTGCGGCGCTCCCCACTTATTAGGGCGGGGCTGCGGCTCATTTTGATTCCTTGGGGGACCACCTGCAGCGGCCACGCGCCCCCGTCTGTACCGCATCAAATAGCCCCCCAGCACGCCACGGCCCCGCGCTGGCCGATGACGCCCGCGGCTGAGGCCCCCACC